AATAATTACTTACTTCACTATCTTTTCATAGTTTACCATTATTACTCATCTTGCTATTATAAAATGCACGATATATTATAAAATATACGAAAATATTGTATACTTTTCTACTCACAGAGGTCCAAAAATATGTAGGTACATATATTCCCTAGAGTATACATATGTATAGATGTGAATTACCCTTGGGTTGCTCATTATGGCGGTCTGGGAGAACAAAGTATATAATGTATGTTCGTTGGATGATAAAAATATCACAATGGTTATCGGAATGGCTATCGCATACTTTCAAATTGAGTAGTATGTAATCTACGTAAATAAATCGAAAACAGTTTGAAGAGTGTTATATTTATATTTTTTTACGTACGACGTAAATATTGGCGATTAATTTAGGTATATTCATAACATGTCTTTTTTAATTAGCTCGTTGTTATGAGTAGGAAGAATTTAAAACCCAAATATCTTTAACTATAAGCATAAGTAGTACAATGGCATAAGCCTGCCAAAACCGCTGAAACTCCTGTCAACATTGAAAACACGAAAACACGTACATGAAAGACTGTCTTGGATCCCACAACGAAATAAATCTGAAAATATTATTTGAGGAGAAGGAAAAATAGGTAGTTTCCACATCCCTCAGAGAATTTAACGGAGGAGGCACGAAAGAGACAGCATAACTGGAAGAGATAAGTTTAATGCACGTACAAAATACGAGTACCTATGTATATGTATTTAGATAAGTTTTCTTTGTCAGTTATGAGGTGATATTATCACTGTTTGGTAGAATCCCTTAACCAAAGAAAAAGAAAATTACATAATCTGGGATTTGGGAAAAACTGATTTTATGATATAAAAAACAATTTAATAACAAAAAGAGGGAACTTATTCATTTTTATTTATTTATTTATTTTAGGCTTCTCAACAATGAGTACACTATAGTTACTATATAATTTGTACATTTCAAATTTAATTCTAAGTGCCCCATTACTTATAGAGAAGCACAGCATGTACTATAATATTATGCGCGGTTATTAAAATAATTAATCAATTTTGAACAAAAAAGTAAAATTAAAGCTAAGTTGACAAAAATTAAATCCAAATCACACAACACAATCTGAAACTAACAAACATTTAAATCAACACATTTATAATAAATAGTTTTAATATTAATTAACATTGAATAGATCAATAAATAAGGAAAAAAAATAATTTTCTTAGAACAGTTAAATTTTACGATTTATTATATATCTATATTCACTTCTTGCTCTTTGTAAGCAGTATACATTCGGGATAGTGGACAGTGTTGTCTCAAATTGGTGCGACATCTTGGCACGCAAAAAAGTTTCGTGCTAGAGCTTCTTGGCAGAATACGTGGCACATGGAATGAAACCCTACTGAGCAAGTCGGGACAGCCAAGAGAGCCTGTCACTAACTTCTTAAGAAAAACCAAATCGAGCATAACCCTGCGTTTCTCTAGCGACACTTTGTGGATAAGTACGTACGTGGTAGTAAACGTACGTATACTACCTACATAGGTGGATTTATATTAACTTAAAATATCAAAACCACAAAATACAGACAAGTAAACTCTGTAATGTAATTACAATACGGTAGTTTCCAACTAGTCATATTTAATACTTTTATCCAAATCTCAAAAACGATACTTATGACGTCATATTATTTTTGCGTCAAATAGAGTATTTATTTTTTAAAAAATTAGCTAAATATATCGAAAATTTAGTTTATCGATCGATCGATGAATGAATGTATAGTATAGTTATTTTTCAATATGTTATTGTATTACCTATTAATTTAAAACGTCAAAACAACAAAATATAAACAAGTAAATTCTGTAATGTAATTACAATTGATCAAACTTTATTTTACTCGGATATTGGATCAAAACAATGCCTAAGGTAAGGCTGAAAATGACATCATTACACATCTGGGTCAATGATATACAGTACTCTTTCAATGAGCAAAAAAATATTCGCTGTGCAAAATTCTGTGCTACCATTTTAGCTAACATTGTTATTTGTTATCTTTTAATATTCTCGATTCAATGAAGAACATGAAAAGGCACGTTGGAAATAAAAATAACGAGCACTTCTTATATTTTATGAACCTTAAACTTCTATAATGAACTTCCGAGAATCGCTCGTATTCAGAACATCGAAGTACCTACGTGTTTCGTATTGTACCGAACGCCAACGCTACGCCGAGCGCGGGCGTCATAAAGTCAAAAAGCCGAGGTATAAGTTTCGTGTACAGAAAATAAGCTGCTGTTAAAGAAATATGATTGCCAAGCTTATTTTGTTGTAAATCTCTATAAACTAGAAAAAGTTACTCTGAAAAATGTCTACCGCATCTGGTTTCTTGTAACTCACCGTACGAATAACCAGAAATATTTAACTTAATTTGAAAGCATTTTCCATAACCAGATAGATAACAGTTAAGTACTAAAGGAAATGGGATATTTGACACCGAAGTATAATCTAGAAAGCATTCAAATTGTCCCGTGAAAAATATCTACCATCAAATTGAGGTAGCGTTTCCATTTTCGTTGAAATTCGTGTTCATTCAGGCGGTGTAATCGTATTAATCAATGACCACATAATTTCACGTAGAGACTAATACGATAGTCACATCATTCCAATATTTCAAGGATCTCTTTATAAAACGATAAATCGATTTGTGTAGAAGCGGTACACGTCCAAGCATTAGGATTAATGTTATCGCTCGACTGCCAGACTGCATCTGACGTATTTGGAACACGAAACTTCATACAACGGTTGTCCATTGCCGATTTAGCTTTCGATTTTGGGGAACCAAAGCGTTATTAATCAAGTCAGATGAAACTTTGATAAGTTTAATTAAGTCTGGCTTGTGTTTACGTTATAAAGGTAGCTATGGTATACATTTAATAGTACAATATTGCTGTAACATTACATTACATGTATAGTTTCTTAATAAGAAAATAACAACAAAAGTTTTGTGTATATTGATAGTAGTTAAAGACTGTTTAGCTATATTTTTGGCTCGATACGAGATGTATTTTCGTAAACCTACTTAATCATAAGGTTCTTGGAAATTTTTATTTAATATAAGTACATATGTACCTCTAAAACTTGGCTTTATTATTTGAACACCATCCAACTAAATTAAAATAGGTGTTGTCTACAAAAATACGAATAGTACTTACCTAGTACATTTTTTCTTGACCTCGTATTGTAACTACATAACAATATAATAGAGTCCTCATTTGAATGTTCTTTCACCATCTTATCATACGTTTATAAACTGTGTAATAATCTCTTACATCATTCGTTATAATAACATCAACGTTACTCAAAAAGAAAGGGTGAATTAAAATAAAACAATAAGAAAACTTTGAAGTATATTTACAATATATACAAACACTGAAAAATATTTCAAGTTACATTTTCATCTACAATGTTCAATACACGTTATTAATTAAAATATTCAAATAACTATTTCTAATGAATACGTTATCTAAAAACATACAATGGTTCCTTTTACGTGAAATTCATAACTACTTAATGAGATGTGCTTATAATAGGTATTATGTAGGCAATTTATGATGTCAAAAATATTAAAAGTAATTAAAATATTTACGTTTTTTATAAAGAGTAACAATGGAGGTCACTGCTCCTTCTTCTCCATTGGAATCTATAATTTGGAAAGAGCACGTAGCTTCGCTGATGAACAGACTGCAGGATTAATATTCTATTTTGACGTTTCAAAAGTACCTGTTTATGATTTAGTTGGAATCATTATTTTTGGATGTGACTTTGACTGTAATTAAGTTATTTTTTTTCAAGTCATCGTTGTAATTTTATGTAATTTAGTATTCATACTTTTTTATTTGTATTCAATAAAAACCTCCTTGAATTTCGAAAATAACGAGTTAAATAATGTATTAATAGTGAGGTAAATTATTTAATTTAATTTCATTTCAATTTCATTTAATACGAAACGCTACTTCAACGGTGCCCTTAGTTAAATTAGAAGTTTGGAATTATTATTAATTCTTTAAAACCATGATACAAGTTTGTTTCAAATATGGGTTTTTTACCAAATCAAAGGTTTCTTGTATCTTTTGTTCATGCCCAAATATCAGTAACTTTATAATAATGATAAGGCTTAAACGTGAGTGCCAATTGTAGCAACTTGCTGTTGCACCTTTCATTCTCGTTGAAACAACAAAAATCTTTGTGTAACACATATAAAGCAGTATATTTTCAGTTTACTGCCAGCTCTAAGCATTTTTTCTGCAAGAATATCTCTTTAAATGTTAAAGACAGATCATAACGAAGAAGATTTCATCTTCATTACATTATATTTCAAAGAACTGGTTGCCCTATAATCATTACTGAAATGGTAAACACAACTCACAAGTAATGCATTTAGGATCAAAGTTTTTATACACTTCAAATAATTTGTTAGGTAATGAGTCATAAAATACAAGAACCGATCGTCTAGATTACAATGAAACTAATTAATGCGATGCGATTCATTAATTAAAATAAAAGAAAGATACTAAAAACTTAAATTGGTAGATATCAAGTAAAATGATTTATGATCGAATATAATCGAATATAAACGTAGCTGATTGGCAGCCCCAAAAGTGTCTAAAACTTCATAAAAGTGTAATATAATTAAAAACATCTGTTGGACTCTTTATACAACTTTGTTAAAGTGCGATGAACGATGAAAAGCTAATTAATATCTTGTGTAGAAATTGAGAATTACTTTAAAATCAATTCTACTTTTCTTATATCTATTATATGCAGACAAAAATATGGGATTTCTAAGAGTCTGTCACTTGCAAATGCGACAACATTCGATTTTAAATTGATGGCATAAATTTTCCTTTCCAGACTTTATTAAATAAAGAAATTTTTAGGTTAGATTTACGTAACGCAAATTAGGACAAAATATAATTCATCCAAATCGACGTACGATACAAAGAATGAATATAAGTAAACAACGCTAAAAATGACATTGAAAAACCTTTACAAATTGTTATCACTAAATTTAATCCTAACACGACTAACACTGACTACAATTTAGTAAGCGTAATATCCATTCAGGCTTCATGTGCCGGTGAACCGACAAGTCTTAATCTATGAAAAACCTTAAAATAGTAAAATACACTTCAAATTACCTTCAATTTAATGACTAGATGCAATTCGTTAGCTTCAGACGATTTTCGATTGACGTCGTTTTAATTAGTCTTCTAAACGCCTTTCGAAACCTAATCAAAAATAATTAATTTAATGTTTGCAAGCCGCGGGAGCAAACGATTTGGAAAAATAATAATTTATCGTTATTTTCCAAGAAAATTGTGCCTTAAACGTATTTGTATACGAAATTGATGTAAGTATTTTCCGGTTTTGTTTACTAGACACACATTATTGTTTGCCCTCGCGCTTTGCAAATACTAGAAACAAGTATCAACATTGGTTTTATATATTTATTTCGTACTTTAAAAACAACTATTACGAACAAATTCAGCCTAAGCTATGACTGTCGTCTCCTGTCTATACAACACACGGCTCTTTTAAGATTTTCTGCAAAACCACTCTTATGAATTTGGACCTCTCGCTTGCATTTGACAATAGCTGGTGTGATCACTTTAGTGTCAGTCTTTTCACCCTGGCCTGTATTGTCTAGTTCCTCGTCGGATCACGTGTCCGAACCTGGATACTTGACGATCAGGTCCAGTTCTTCGTCACTCGGCTTCACAGTTCGCACTTCTGTTTGACCTTCGAATTTCTTCGGTCGGTCCATTTTGTTCTCGATGTTGACCAGGACATCAGCCACACATCGGTGGTCTTCCGGCGATTTTACTTCTGCATCATCCCCAGGCGCTTCGTCCCCGTTATTGTTCTGCTTGTCTCTTTCTATTTCAGCTTTGCTATCCTCATCTTCACTGTTCTCTTTTCCTTCTAGAATCATTTTATGAGTTGCTTCTTCTGTCACGCTGTCTGTAGGCGCTTCGTTGATGCAAGAATGTGTTAGTGTAAAGGGTAGTTTTAATGAGAGATCCCCACCCATCGCACTGAAGGTCAGCTTTACTTTTACGTAATATGACACGTATATCGCAAACACATTTCTGTCCTCTGGCGTGTTGTTGCTAAGAACTGTAGATGCGAGGCTGGCACCTGTTTTTGAGTAGGAATCCTCAAGTGCTATCCAATTTTTGGTGATACCTGACAACAAACAAAATGACGAGGGTGTAAAGAAAATTTATTCTTAGTGGTTACCCTTCGATAAAATAACAAAGTAAAACCTACCTCTGTGTGGTGTAAGCGTGAACGTGTCGGTGTGTGTCTGCCCTGGCAACACAACATCATTGCCTTTGACGAGAGCAACGACATTCTTGAACTTTCCGTTGGAGAACATGCAGACGTCAACATGCTGAACGACCAAGGCCTGTGAAAGAAAATGAACTTTAATTTTAAAGCTGTTATTAAAGTCTAAGACCATAATTAGGGCGTTTAAGAAAATTAATGAAATTTCCTGGTGTTAGCTTGAATGGAAATTGCACATTAAGTATGAAACAACGTCATAACGAAACGTCGTTTCACATTAAGGGCGACGCGATTTGACGCGACAAGCGGAACTAATGCGCGGGCCAATTTAATATACAAAGCGTGCTTAGTTACTTACTGTACAGACTGTAGATAGTAACTAAGCAAGTTCGTAGAGGTGAGTGAACGATAAACTGTTGCTACGTGATACATATTTGATATGTAATTAGTTTTCAAGGACGTTTTTAAGACAAAATAACAAGAACTAAACTATAATTTGTTGAATTTGTAGAACTTTAGCACTATTTATAAACTAGGAATACAAAAAAGGTCGTGAAATGCCCTTATCTCGAAAAGCGCATTCGTTAAGTAAGATGGATAAATGATCAAAACGCTTTCTCGCAGTGCCAAGGCGATAAAAATAAATAAATAAGTGTAACAAATCACTCCTCCAAGTTGCTTCTGTGCGAGAATATATTTCGTGAATCTTTTATAATACATTTTGTCGAATGTCGCTCTGTGAGGTTACTCGCTACGAAGTCTAATTTGTCGCGGCTCGTAAGGTGGGAGTCCCGCTAAGACGTGATAAAATATGATTAGTGAGACGTCCCCGTTTATATTTCCTTGAACTTTATTGTACAAAGTTTTCTATTTAATCTCCTTCTTTTAATTTAATCTAAACCATAATGCCCTACCCATTTGGGAGTTAAGTAGCTTTTTGTTGAATGACTTGTGAATGTATTTAATTTACATGAAACTTATGCAAATACAAACAAACAGACATTCAATAACCTTATTATAGTGAACCGAGCAAACCTCACGGTAATCAGCTCTATCAAGTTTATAATAGGATTGGGAAGCTGTCGGAGGAAGCTTATGATTGTCATTAATTATGTACGCAACATTTGACCACGAATAGTTTACTATCTAGGTAATATCTATTGGGATTGTATACATTTTGATTAAGGTAAGTGATTAATGGATTAATTGAGTCTACGGATCGTTACAAGGGTTTGATTTGGCATTTAAACATTAACAAAACATCGGTCTAGTGATCCCTGAAGGTTTGGCAGAGGGTTGGTTTGTTGTAGATCCGTGACGGGCCATTGTTTTGCCATAAATTTAACCCTTGCACGGAGGTAAATATACAAGTCAAGGAATCACGGTCGGATCAGGGATTATGAACCTTGGATTATAATTAATCACGTGTTTAATTTTAATAGAATATTTTTAAGGTATTAGTGGGGTTGGAGGTGTATGTATGTATTTGCTGGGGCCCTTTATTTATTTCTGCTAACTCTGTCGGACTTTTATTAAGCATAAAAACGCTTGCCTAATGAATATTTATCCAACACACGTTTAACTGTACATAAAAGAGCTTTAATGGCCAATGTCAAAGAAAAATATGCAGTTAGTATACATTTTATTTAAACTACAAAGCAGAGACGCTGACAGAGTCGAGACAACGCTAACTCATTGAAAGAAAAAATAACACGCATATATATTTATTCATGTTCTCAGCTCTCGGATAATTAAACTAAGAATTTTGATAAACCATGTCCAGGCTCATACCTGACTGACATCAATTAGATTCTTTTTTATTAGAAACTTATCCTTATTTTAAATTAGTTAAAAAAATTTTTTTTGAAGAGTTTACGGTCACGTATAATACAGGTAGCAAGTTTACAAGTAACGATTATGTTCACGATATGAGCTAACAACTTTTCGGCACCCGAAGTGCCTTTGTTGTAAAGTAAGAACGTGAGCTCACCAAACATTATGATTAAATCAATTTTGTACCTACACAAAGCTGATATCTTCTTCGTAACTAGGTTTTTTTACGTACTTCAGTTTTACGGCTTCTTTTTGTTACCTAAGTGAGTGTTTTACTTTGAAACACATGGAGGTTTATGTTTTAATATGTTATTATGTAATTTTATACAATAAAGAATTTTCGTTTTCGTATTACTTCATTAGTTAACCTCATATTTACCTACTTGATTTTTGAGTTTCTAAATGGTTTTTATCTTTAGGTATATTAATTGTTCGCTTCCCAGTGAGTAAATTGTGTATGTCGTTCTCCATGAGAAATAAAGATGTTCTTCAACCTAACCTTAATAACTTGTAGAGTATTGTTCAATAATATATTGTCACAGGTTTTCGATGACAATGATGAAAATAATATAAGATTTGACCCAATTGAAATGACTAACTTCATAGTAATATCTACTCTACTTGTAATGTAGGTTTAGGTGTTGTGAATTTTATCTAGTTGTGTTATGAACGTACCTTGATCCGTCGCACTGTCTTCGACGAGTGATTAGCGACGACCACTCCAACTCTTATAGATTCCCCGTGCGAGTATGTCGGTTTGTCCAGCCATGCTTCCAATTCCACTCTGTAGGAAATAAAGTTATTTATTACCTATGTATGTATGGTACAAATAAGTTAGCATTAGCATAGGATGTTTCCCTTTCGTAAGTAAATCAGTATCATTTTATTAATATAGGATTTCGGTAAACGTATCACCAGATGGACACTCCTAAAACCAGTAGAGTAACGAGGACGTTGCCTGCCTTTTGAGGGTTAGGAATTTGAAAATTGCAGGATTTAGGATTTGAAGAAGAGGGGAAGGGTGGGGGTTTGTTCCCGGTGAAACAAACAAGGTTGTGAAATCACTCCGGTCTAGCCGACCCATATGTGCTGAAACGTGGCTCTCACACACTTAAATAATAATTTATCAGCCTATTTGCCTTGTAGAAGCTCTCTTTGTATAAAATTTCTTTAGTATTTTATCGTTATACTCGTAGCCAGCAAGCTCTAGGATTAGCATACATTATTGCTAAGCCCCGACGTTACTAAGAATTTACCGTTTTGTCCTATATTTCATAAGTTTTGCTTTTTGTACAGAAATTATGAGATATCTACGTAGCCTGAATTTTACATGGCCACTTTACAGGGTCTGAAGTACCGTAAGTACTTAATTTACTTTCAAGGTGGCTCAGCTCAACTTTTCATGAGTGGCATATAATGAAAACCAAGATAATTTCAGGTAAACAATTTACCAGCTTATTTTTTGTAAAATTATTATTATGTATGTATATATAAGAATGATTTTCTTATATACGTTCTTGTATATATATGGTAAATAATTCAAAATAATGTAGAACGAAGCTTTCACTAAATAATTATGTATGAAAAGCTTTAATTTACGAGATTCAGACGAGAACAGAATCAACATAATTTTAATCTACTTATTAAAATCGATGGAATATATTAATGAGTTATCCCTCTGATAAGAACACTGTGGTTCGAGGGAATCCACAGTTTAACATTTATATTACGAGTGAAGCCTCTAGATTGTATATTCTCATGAATTGTGGAACTTAACGAATGCCATATTTTCAGGCAGGCGTTGAATAAATTACTGAAACCTCGACTATTCTACCAGTGCTGTCTACAAAAAGGTTCCATTAGCATAATTGCACGAGTGAAAGTAACGATTATACGGTTTAAAGGACGGTGTTAACTTTAACTTTCGAGTCGACGAAAATGAAAATTTTCATAAAATTTTTGTGATTCTTCTTATTGAAGATAAGAATTCATATATGTATGTACAGGTTTCATTACACAAATACAAAACATCTAACTAAACCTTATAGGTATTTTTTCTTGAAGAGGGGAATACCTCAAATTGCTTCTCCTGCCGAGGGTTTTTTTTTGTGAGGGGAAAATCATCAAATTACTTCTCCCGCCCAGGGCTGGGCAGGAGGGAGTGTCAGACTCTTACTGACTAAAAACCCCCTTGTTCCTTCTCCTGCTCTATGCCGAGGTCGCGGTGCCTCATTGCGCTTACCCCGCAATCCCGGCTTCCTGCCGAGGGTACGGCGAGAAGGAGTGTCTCTTACTAAACCCCCTCTTTCTCCTACTTGAGAACAAGGCTACGGCACGTTACAGCGATTGATCCGCGACCCCAACTAAAATTGAACTTTATAAGTGCTAGTTTTAAAGCCGATAAAAAAAACAGTCTATCAGTGGCAGTCGGTCTGTCAATGATGCTCGGTGCTTGTACATATTCTATTAACCTTTCAATCATAGTAATTCGAGACAATAAGCGCGCCGGCGTTTGCTTGGTATTCGTGAATTAAAATAATTAATTTCATGTGTTATAATTATTATATTCATTAATCACATATTTGATATGGTAATAATAAAAAACCAATTCGTTTAAATAATTGATTTGGATTACGAGAATCCATTAATTGAAAGTGTATCAACTATAAGCTGAACTGAACATATGTAGATATATAAACAATTTGGAAATGTTAATTTCGCGTACTGCAGTCAGTAACAAATAACATTCAAAAACAATTTGTAGTTCGTACTGTCATGACTAATTACTGTTTCATTTGAATCCGCTTACACGTAATTTATCCGTATTGTTTAAATTATTTAGAGTTCGTAGTAGGTTAATTTTGTGTGATAGGCAGAATATATAATATTGTAAACATTTTTTAATATACTTGTTAGATAACTTAAGTATGATAAATTGGCTAATGAGCTGACGGATAACTACCGGTAAGTAATCGGCGCCGTCCATGGCCATCCCAATCGCAAAACTAAAGGGGCTTCAAAACGTTTGAGGGGATCGGTAATGGGCCTTCACTAACCTCACACAAAATTAAAACTAAAACTCAAAGATTCAATTAAAATCCTAGCCTAGCCTTTATAAAATCAAAACATGACTTTATATAATATAAACTCTCACCTTCCATCGGATAGCAGAAAAGGTTTCTCAACGGTCGCCCGCGGCGGCTGAACCTCCGAATTTTCTGGAACAAACAAACAAAAACAAATTATGTTTACCTCTGTCCTATTTAGATACTGGCACCTAGCTTTTATACTTAGGAAATCAGCTGAAACTATATAGCTTGATATACAAGATATAAGTAATAGAAAAATGAAACATAGTTGTTCAGTTGTTATTTGAGGGTGGCAAATCATCACAAGTCTTATCTCGTCCACGATGACGTGGGTGTAGTAAAAATCAGCTTGCACAGCAACCCTGGCCGGTTCAATTAGATCAGCGTACGGGCAAACGCCATTTTTTACCGTAGCAACTTCCCAATTATAAATATCTATAATTGACTATTAAATAAACATTAATCAAATCTATCCTAAAATTATAAAGTTGTAGAGTTTGTTCGTTTTCTAAACGCGGTATTCTCCGTACCTACCTAACTAGTGGTTCGAATTGAACTTTTTTTTTTGCATGTTGAATACTCCATTTTTTGCGGAAGGTCAAAAAAGGTTTAAGAATACCACGGTACGGCTAAATAAGAGTAGCTCGTAAATCAATAAATAACAACAGCAATCCATTTAAAGGCACATTTGCTATTTACTTAGAGCAGTCTCTAACAGACTTAGCATAAACATCACGCTGCCTTTATGCCATATTCAGGTTAATCTCAAGTTCATAACAGAGTGAAATGAGCGACAACTTGCTAATATTATTATCTTGTTGGCTCTCCCTTGTTCCCTTGTTAGCTTCTACTTAATGCTGAATTTAGATAGCTACCCGTACACGTAGGTATATCCCTGTGCTAGGTATCAAGCTTTCAAAGTGGGTTAGAATTAATTTTGTGATATTCGCACCTTTACACTTTAAATGAGACTTAATTCTATAGTTTAGGTATACCTACTGAAGGATTATTTAGAATTTTATTTTTAAGTTAATAAGCATATCATGCAGTTGTGCAAGCACTTACAAATTAATTGCGTTAAGTTACATGAAAAGATTGTATTAAGTTATTTTTATAGCCAATTCAAATAAACTTTTTACCTCAGAGAGTTGTGTATTTTGCAGTTTCTCAAATAACAATTTAGAAAGTAAATTTTCAAGTTAAAAAATAAACGGTCATTAAAACAATTTCTATTAAGGTGTACAATACTTGTAAAAGTGTAGTAACTTTAAACTATAAAGCTTAATTGAATAAAGTTCTATCGCACCAATTAAAATATTTTGCATAGTAAATGCGCTTAATTTAGTCACGAATTTTATTATTTTACGGAGCTAACATCATTAAAAACTTACCTATTTCTTCGGGTTTCGGTCGGCAGTTCTCATCTGACTCTATTTTCGTTTTACTTTTCAACCTGCGAACAAAGTTTTTATTAACATGAGTCTTTTTTAGATAAACTATCGACTAATAGAAGTTTTTCATTTAATTGGTTGATTGAGTTTGACAAAGTTTTACCTTTGAATCATTAACGAATAGCCAATTAAGATTGGATCGGATTTAAATCATTTATGTAGAAGGTTGTGTGACTCAAGGTTTTATTCCCCTCGGACATATTCGACTTTTACGGTTTTAGGGATCTACAGCTAGATAGACACAGTAACACAAGTCAATGGGACTAGAAAGAACTAATCCACTTGTCGATTGCTAAGTCTCGATTTTTAAATGAAGTCTGTAACAGCGTAGTATAAATGTTATATAAAATATTTTACCAATAATAACAAATACATCACATTCAGTATGAAAATCAGATGAATTCACTCAACATTTTGTAAAATATTTCAATTGCAATAATTTATAATTAAAAAGTTGAAAAGTGATTAAAATCATTCTTAATTATTTACAATACCTGAACGCGTAAAGTTAAAAATAGTTGTTTTCGAAATAATATTAATAAATTGATAATTACATATATTTTCCTGAGGTGATTATTTTAAAAAGGCACATTCTAATAGGTGTTTCATTTTGGAGTGTTATGATGGCGATTTCTGACAGTTGTCAGAATAGGATGCACAAAGGAGTTTTAATATTGAATTTATGATATAGAGGGTCTTCATACTACGTGCAGCTGCAGCTTATGCATCAAACAGTTCCAATACACGTAGGATGTCGACACGTGTGACCTACGTGCATGCATTGGTAATAATATGTACTGGCAGTTTCCAATATTGTCTATTAGAAATATATCTATCACAGTACAATATTCTAACCAGAAAAGTATATACTAATATCGTTTCTTGATTAGTTTTGTGACAGCAATCCTAGGCTGCGCCTATTGACTAAAATAACCTAGTCGTTCTATCTCCTGCTCTGAGCCGGAACGTATCGCTCCCTACCATTCCTAACTTAAAAGTGCTATCATTAGCTAAGGCAGAAAATCGATAGACTTTTGAGAGCTGAAAACAATTTAATTAAACTTCTAACGCGACATAAACATAAACGCCTTACAATAAATGTATATAATTTTAAAAAGAATGTCCTCAATATCTTTTGAAAAGAATACAAATCCCATATGACCCGTCTGAAAGAGCAATCTCAGAGGCAATGAACCGAGGTATAGCTCTAAAAGGGTTCCGTATGAATAATATTGAGTGAGGCGAGATCTTTATTAAAAAACTGTTTTGCTAGCGAGATTTCTTGGACGTATCAACATTTTACAGATTTTACAGATTCTGACTTTTATTTTAATATATTGGTGTTTCTGAGCGATTGTGAGATTTCTTGAGGAATTGAGGTATAAAAAAGCTACCTATATCAGTGTTATGTAAAAAAAATTCGGACATTGGATGAAACGCATCTTGTGACTGGCTTTATCGGGAGATTTTGTAAGCGAATTTTTTTATGGTTTTTAAAATCAAGATTTTTTACATTCTCATCCCATAAAAAACATACATGATACATAATTTTTTGTGGATGAAACACGTTACTTCGATAGTATTATATTATATTTTTCATCTTATTCTCTCTTTATTTCTACAAACTGTTGAACCACTTAGCTGTTGAGTTGGTTAGCCAAATTTAACATACTTTATTTAAAAGTATTCAAGATTAAATGTTTTTATTCGAAATTTATTCATAAACTAAAAACCTCTTAAAGTCAGCTTAACGTAAGCAGTATTAGTAGATAAATATTATTTTTAAGGCAGAGTTAATACATATGTTTCGTCGTTCGATCATAAATAAAGTTAATTGATGGTCTATTGATGGATATATGGATAGAAAAAAATAATTTGAAATTAAAAAACCCCCGACACATAAAACGTAAGCTACCTTTAAAAAGTATATGATACAAAAAAAACTTAATTGAAATTGTTTCATCCGTTCAGGAGCTATGATGCCACAGTCACACAGACAGACACGTCAAACTTATTAAAGTTTTTGTTTTTTGTGACGTACAAGTCATAACCTTTCATTTGATACCCCACTTGAGCATATTTGCAGACATTCGGTTTTTCTTCACCACTTTAACCCCCCATAACTTTTAAAAAGCTCAATCGATTTTCATCAAACATGTTTAAGAACACTCGCCGTAAAACACCTGTAATACAAAAAAAACTAAATTGAAATCAGTTCATTCGTTCAGGAGCTATGATGCCACACACAGACAGACGACAGACAGACAGACACGTCAAACTTATAACACCCCACTATTGCGTCGGGGGCTAAAAATGATTTATCTGAATAAATGTGTAACTATCTGAATAGGTAAAACTATTTCGGTAATTCGTTAATTGCCTTAGCGGAATATTTTTAAACTTTATTCTGTCATTTATTACAGAATATGGCTTTGTAGATATTGTTAATAAAGATGTATATTGTAGTTCATATCACAATTATCTCATAAATGTCATACGCCAATCAGTCATTCAAGTGTAAATCCCTTATACATACCTCGATCATACATATTTGAACATCAATCTGCGATTGGCATATAATGATTTCAATAATGTTGTTAGTTTAGGTCAATTTAGCTTTGAATATTTTAAACTACTTATGTACTTACATACTACACATATGTGATACATTTCGTAAAGTTTTAAGCCTATTGTAGCTATTAAGTTTAACAATTATTTATATTGAACTATTCGTGGCTCAATAATCTAAATATGTATAGAGTACGAAATTTCGTTATTTACCTTTCGATCCAGAAGTTGATCACGTCTTTGCTTTAATAATAATAAGAGAAACATTTATTAGTTCTTTTTACCAATTGTTAATGTAAGTATTTAAAATTAATGCTACGTTATTGCTACTTCTTTAGTGACATATAAGTATAATGCAAGTTTAGTATTAAATTAAACAATGAAAAACCTGGTTTGACGGCTAAAATTAAACTCGTATACAATTTGTATTAATCACAACAGCTCAGCGAATTTTACAAGCAACAAACGTAAAGGGATGAAGGTAGGAAGTTACAATGATTTCAAAGCGCATTATTATGGTTGTTTACGTTGAAAACAAGCCCCGTTAACCGCAGCCCGACTACGGGAAATAACATTTCCTGTGAAATGCAAACTGGAGTTCGGTGACGTGCCGCCGACATAGTCAGCCTGCACCATAATTCATTTTGTTTTGTAAAATAAACTTGTAAACAGCGTTCTATTTTCAGGTATCGAACTTTGACATTTTGCGTACTATTTTAATTCTTTTTTATGTTCGTGAATGGCAAAAAACCAGTTTGATGAAATGAAATGAGTTAGATGCGTGTTATGTTTACATCTCGAAGGACATATTACAAGTCACGCCAAGACTATGTTATTTTTATTACATTAGGACATTCATAGCCACCGGCAAACGTACCCTACCCTCGGAAAAGCTCAGACCGCCCCTGCTTTTACTTCGGAAATCGCACATTACTCTACGTCAAAAGCAAATCAATGATTTTTTATGACCAATTCATAACAAAATGTAGGTAGTTTATATTTATAGTGATCTGCAAGTATTAGGATACTATCTATGGACATTTTACTGATTTTATTGAAACTGTGTCACTGTAAATATTGTGATAGTAAACACAAAAATGAAAAACAATATCCCCCCTCAAAAATAATATACTTTTTCACATCAATCTCTCACTCTATTGGTGTTTAAAGTTTTAATAAACAAATAAGCAAACTGAATGCTGTCATATAAAAGAAATGTGCGTAATATTGTGCGTAAGGCTAAGAACTCACGGAGCGATTTTCGCCCGCGTTAGCTGCGGTTGCGGGCCCGCAGCTTTTGTAGAATTCAAATATTTATATAAAAAATTAAAGCACATTTCACGACGCGTTTTACGCCCGCGGTATACGCGGTTGTATGCGGCTCCCGCTGTACCGGCGGGCAACTAGTAGAATCGCGCGGACCGCGGTTACCCGCAGCCTCGGCGGGTGGCACCCGCGCGCTTTGCGATCGGTTGGCGAGCAACCGCGGGGGCCGGCGGGTCTTCTGTGAAGTAAATATAACGCAACGGCTCGTTTCTGGTGTGTGTCCATGGCGGTCTGGATCTCAACTGATCGTTAACCGCCCGTCTTGCAATCTTGCGATCATCGCCCGCCACGTTTGCGGGCGATGATCGCAACCGCAGCGGCTGTGTAACCGCGCAAATAACCGGTCTCGTGAGTTTGGAAATAAAACCGCAGTTCCGCTACCGTGGCGGGCACGGTTCAAAATCGCTCCGTGAGTTCTTAGCCTAAAACGGATGAATGAAAACGATTTCAATGTGGAATAAAAACAGAGCATTGATTATACATTGGTGTAATCGTACCTAATACTGAAAGGCGGATGTTGAGATGTAAGTATTATATATATAGTCTGCCATAATATTTATTTATTAATTATTTATGTACACACACAGTACGTAGGGTAAACATATTTATAAAATTTATAAGTAAATATTGTTTGTTCCTACTTCTTACTTTCTTTTTTTTATTACTTTTGTTAATTCGCATTTCTATCGACCACTTAATTTTTTTTTATTTCAACTTTATATATTATTGTTATAGTACTTTTCCTTGTGTATTCTATTCTTGCAATAGAATGTAACAGCCAATCTGAGTGCATTATTTTGTACCTTTCGATTAATCTAAAGTTTTCGTAATTACAATATTAAACACTAGTGTTTGCTTTGACTTTACAATGATGCTCAAAGTAAGAGCACAACGTTATCGAATTCATGGTCTCCCCGGACCTTAATTTTGTGGTCAACGAATGTGTAAATACTTTATGAATCATATTTACACTGAACAGAGTAATTTACGTACTTTAGAACCTTTGTTTTAGCAACAATTTTAATTGTTCAAGGATCGTCAAATATTTTCTGCCTAATAAACTTGAATCGGTTCGGTTGGTAGAGATTATAAAGCATAAAATATCTTTGGCCGAAAATGTTATTTTGATACAGGTATTATTAGGCTGCCGAAGAATTTATCTCATATAATTTGATATTAAAATAATACGACATATTTTAATTTGAAGATGATGACGTAAACATTACTGGATGGCTAGCACAGTGGCTGGGCAACTGATTGCTGTGCGACATGTTGAAGGTTTTGACTCACATAATGATCCTCAAATTGTTGTTCCGGGTCTGTGTGTATTGTGTATATGAATTTTTAAACACAGATACATGAAAACATTATTTTTGTTTTTGTGAAGAGAAAATCATCAAATGCCTTCGCCGTGCTTGGGGTGGAGCGGGCTGCTCTAGGCCGAGGCCGTGGTGCCACACCACAACACAAGAGAATAGCAAAACTATTTTTTTACGAAAAAAAGAAATACCTATTTCAGTTAATTTTATGTTGATAAGTAGTTGACAATGACAGTAAACTACGAATAGAAATAAAAGTAAAAAAATGTTCTTCTTTTTCGTTAATTCGCAATGTGATTGAAAAGTTGACATGTACCTTAAATTGCAATTTTCTAACAAATGAGGTACCTATATAAATACTTAAATACAATTTAACTCATTTTTCTTTTAGTTTTTAAAGAATTGAAGTAAAAACACAAATTTTTAATATATATAACGATTATGTAAAGTTCCTACATAAGATAGATGAAAGAAGAAAATAATTTTAATAGGACATAAAGCAGGGGTTGGGATATAACCTTCTAATGATAAGCAATCAGCACCATCTATATCCATAGGCTAACAATGTCAGGGAAGGTTACAAGTGGGTTGCTGGCATTTTAAAAAAGAGACCTAACCTAGCTAGTTTATCTTTTTGAAGGTTATAGGATAAATTGTCATATGCAAGAGAAAATTGAACAATAAAATAAAAAATAAATTTAAATTTGAATAAATTTAAATTTCTTTATATTGTTGGACAACAAACGAGCACACCGCCGGATGCCCGCTACACCAGTGGAGTTGCGAGTGCGTTGCCTGTTTTTTGGGATTGGGGAGTGATTGGGGAGGGGAAGAAGGATTGGACCTCCGTTAAAGTCAATTATACGGCGAAATACAACGCTGTGGCTGTTTCACGCCAACTTCTGTGGGGCCGTAGTATCACTCTGGTCAAGGTTTTCCTCATGTCAAGGGGACCCGGATTCGTGACGAAGCATTACTCTCCCGCACTTAAATTTATTAAGGTATTTTTAACCTAGAATATTCATTGCATTCAAATACTATACAAATAATTATGTTTTAAAACAACACTAATTACAGAGCAGTTATTTATTAAAATACAATAAAATCCAAACAAATGAGAAAGTAGCGTGTAAGCTAATTGTTATACACATATAGTAGGTACTTTAATGAGTACATTGTCACATTTTACATGAAAAAATAAACGTATCTGTGATGTATGCATGTCATCGTATAATTTCATTTCATGTTGGTTGAAAGCCAACAATTATTATTTTAACGTATAAATTGGATAATGGTCGGTTGCCGCTACAGAGTGGCTATTTCTGTATCGATTGATTGCAATATTCAGTGGGCTATTTGTTTGTTTTCTATATTGTTAGGTATTAAATTATAGGCTTTCCATCTATTAACTAATACCAATTGCTAATACTAGCAAACTGTAAAAACATGTTTTATTGAAAATAACGACTTACTCGCGTTTATTAACTACAAACAACAATTAAACAATGAATTTATTTTTGCAAATAGGCCATAAAACGGCACTTTTACACGTCAAAATATATGTGAAAAACTAGATGAAGCCGGCATTTCCTATCTGACTACTCTGAGAAGAAATGCCGAAACAAACTCAGAGGTCAGTCTCTTTTCAAATCCAGACAATGTAAAATAACATATTGTGAGAGAACCGTGCAAGTTAATTCTGTAGTGGTCTTTTGAGGAAAGAACCACACCAGTTTAAGTGGACCCGTTCTGAAGACAGGCACGCAAGTGTCAGTTTGCAACCAGCTTTACTAGTAAGAGTATGTCACGGTGACGTCGCGCAGCTGACTGATTTTTTCCCCACTTTGTCATTGTGACTTCAAACTAGCAGAAATTAGTAGAAACTAGAACTGTGCTAAAACCACGGCCTAACAATCCAAAAATCCTATCCTTAAATCTCTAATAACCTACAAGAAGCCAGCAACGCACTCTGACAACTCCTTTGGTATTACGAGAATCTATGGGCGGTGCCGGTGAATCACAAATGTATGAAGATTTTGTACTGTCCACACCTTGACTTGACTTTAGACGGATAATTATGATGCAGCATTTAAGTAGGTAGGTAATCTATTTGTAAATCTCTAACACAATGCAAATAGTGTAAGCTTACACTACCTAAATGTCTAGGCATTGTAACCGACATCCATGTCCTAACATTTATCTAGCTAGAGCTTACACGTGCGACGCGTCTCTTAATGATGTCAATCCCGTTTCAAATTACTACCTAGTCCTTAGGGCCTGAAGATTATCTTGTCTAGCCTACAAACTCTTAGTCTTAGCCTTAATTTTAATCTAGTACAATATATCAGTATAAATTGCCTATGTTTTTTACTAGTATTCCTAATGAACACTTAATCTTCAATTAATTTAATGACAAGATGTTTTAATTGATTAAAATGGATGGTTTATTTATGCATCGATGGGACTTCTATCAATTAGGGATTACCGTGATTAAATTATTCAGTCTATAGTAATATTATAAAGAGGAAAGATTTGTTCGTTTATTTGTTTGATTAGAATACTCAAAACGACTTGACCGATTTAAAAAACTTATGCAGTGCTTGGAAGCGACACTGATTTATTTATTTCTTCAACAAACAATTTATATTGTTTCTGATTTTTTTTTACAAAACAATCTTAAACTATCCTCTGTGAACATAAGTTATAAAATTCGCGGCTAAAACTGGGGGTCAAAGCTAGACCTGGTATAGGTAATGGTAGTGTTGTTCTAGCGTTGGCAGAACAAATGTTGACAATACCTACAACGACTTTCTAATTTTGATCTCCAAATCGAATAGTAAATTAAAATTATGGGTACAAAATAAATTACTCGGTCGCTTCTTACATTATAGTAATGAAATATCGCGATTAAAATAAAAACAATCTAAAAGAATAGGTACCTCAGAAAAAGTAAACATCATCCACGAGAATAAGAATTGAATTTCAGGTAGAGGTAACCTCACTCAAGTACAAGGTTTTTCCCTTCTTTACGTACCCTTTTAAGGAATAAAAAGAAACAGGTCTCATAAACAGATGTGAGTTAAACTTTTCGAGAAATACCCATGGCTTCTTGCGAAAAAACCCTCAACCATTTAAATTTAAATGAACCATGTTTAGCGCAATATTTATGCGGCATCCGCGCTACTCACTCAAGTAGGCTGATGTGAATTATGTATGCTCAGGTAAACATTTCCTGTCGCGTCAATTTAATGTACTTAGATACCCAATGTCGGTTTTGAGAACCTCTAAAAGGGTCAAATTGGTTGCGAAAATCGGTCGGCTTGGCAACAAAGTTTGAAAGTTAATTATGCGTTAGGGATTTAATTTCGCATAGTAGGTACCTACATGTTTTAATTGAGACATGATTAACTTTACAAATATGTCTGTTCAAATAATTATTCGTGGAATTCAAATGGAAAATTTATATTTATCTGGTTTTTAATGGCTATTCCTTAAACGCCATGTTTACGTATACTTGATAATAATTATTTAATGTTTTGACAAACTGTCCCTGAAACTATATGAAACGTCATGTGGAAACAATAAAAATTATATGACAAAAATAAAATTAACGACTGTATCGCATGCAGTACTTAATAGAAAAAATGAACTTATTAAATACGGCTAGTACATATCGGTAATTACTTAGACAGATTTAATTACGTACGTTTCATAAAAAACTTTAAACTAATAAACTTTTGTAGCTCGTGTGTGTTTTGTTACTATTTAAAAAACAAAAACAAAACTTATTGGCTTGCTTTTGTTCGTAACTATAGGGAGGTCTTCTCAACCGATAAGATTATGATTTGGGAACAGAATGATTGAGTTTTTGATTGCAATAGACTCGCCTATCTTACATAGACTAATAACATAACTAGAACTGAATGTTTCATTTGAATGCATCCCTTGCCCCACAATTTTGTATAATAAAAAAACAGATATTAAGTTATACAAATGGCATTTTCTTACCTGAGCATGTTGTACTGTGCGAGCGCACTGAGCGTGTGATGAGGTGACGGCGGTGGTAGTACAGGTGGAGGCGCTGATCGACCTGGTCCTTGCAGCACTCGAATGCCCATGCGCACCGTGTTGCGACGGGAAACCTTCTCGTCTGGACGTTCCGCTATTCAAGATACAATTAATTAGTTCGACTTTTATAAGATAGATCGGTAAATAAGCAAACTGATCATAAGAAAAGAATGGAATAATAATACAGCACTAAGAAACTATATGGAAGTAAAAGGATTGGAAAAAGTTGTATTATAATAAGAGGATATCGAAAATATGACCTAACTAACTTCCGCCCCCAGTTTGTACATTAGGTACCTAATGTATCCCGGGATTTAAAACACAGCAGCGTTTAAAGCTATAGCTCGATAATAGACAGCCCATTACCACTTAGGAAAATTGTTAAAGTCATCTTCCAGCGAAAAAATTTTGGAAACACGACCAGCGCGCTGATCGGGTTTTCAAAAACATTACCCCCTACATATACAAACTTACAAATTTTACCTCTTTAGAGTATTCGTACAGATTTCAAAATATTTCAACATTTTTTACACATAAATTAAAAGAATTGAATTATCAACTGAAACTGACAATGGTCCAATTTGCGTATGAACAACGGCTACGTCCCGGAAACACAAAAAGTTGATCGGATTTTCACGCAACAGCTGGCAAGAGATCTCATTTACTTTTTCACTACACCCTGACAAATTGCTGAATAGACTTTTATTACAGTAATTTTCTCAATATTAGAAAGATTTTTGTAGAGAAACTATCTGTAAATTAATATTTATGTAAAACAGAATAGAATGGCGCGTCATAAAATCGGGAGTGTCGTGTCAGGCGTATGGATCAATACATTTATTATTGTTGTATTGTCCTTGATTTCCGATTTCGCCATCATGATATAAATGAATGGGACTAAATGGACTGATCGAACAATCCGATAATCGACGCCTAACTACGAAATGAATTCCATTTTTGTCCGAACATAATGTTCGAACCGAAACAAACATTTTTTTTAAAAAAAAAAAAAACTTTGTGCGGGGCACTAGGATTTTCTCCTGTGTCGTGGGTGCGTTCACAAACATACAATTTCACGTACACATGACACCCAGACCCGAAACAACAATTTGTGGATCGCACAAAGTGTTGTTCCGTGCGGGAATCGAACCCGCGACACGTCGCACGGCAGCCAGTTGCCCAGCCACCGCGCCAACCGTGCAGTCAAGTCGTTTTAATAGTTTAAGGGCTGATTTTTTTATTAGTCAGATTATTGTTATCTGCGGAATAAAATTGTTGCTGTCACTGTCTTATACACACATTCTGACGCGACAGCATCATATCTTATTCCCCAGGTAACTATTATCTAACCATTGAAAAATCTGTCCTTAATCGTCTGAATTAGTCTATTACTGCGTATAAAAACATTAATTTACGTACTAACAAACTGTAAATACTGGATCTCTTCTCTGGTAGCATGATCTTGCTCATTATTAGATACTTGTGATAGCTAGATATGTGACGAACCTTTAGGCAAACGCTTCGTTTACGCAAACGCGGGACACCGCGCGGCCGCCGTTTGTTTGCTTTACATCGGCAGCAGACCGCGTTATTGTCCGCGAAAACGCAAACATGAGCTGTGTATGAAAGGACGCCATAAAGCACAGCGCAACGCGCGTGTGCGTAAACTAGGCCTTATTGTCTTTGTACGCAGGTAATAGCAGTGTCAAAGTAATATAAGCTGTCTTCTAAAAAACGTAAAAGTTGCCTTTACTTAATTGGAAATTAAGGAATGCCTCAAGGGCCCACGCGCAATCTTATCCCCTGCATTCTACAAAGTATTTGGGACATCACAAAGCCTTAATTGTGTTAATTAAGTGCGAAACAGTGGGACAATTATTGTTAGTGATTTGTTTTAGTTGTTGTTCCCAAATGGTTTCAAATTGTCTGCGCTTGTCAGGGAAGAATATTAAAGTTGTATTCAAAGGATGCTCGTACTGCGCCACGTGTAATCTGTGTTTGTAATAAGTTTCTGAAAGGAGTTAGTGAACTCACAGTTTGGCGACAGAGATAAAATTTTCTTAAATTAAATAGTATGAAATACTGTGAAATTAAAGACGTAACTTGACGCTTATTTGCAAAAAGGTTTTAATTTTGTTTTTGTGAAATACCTTAAAGAACTTATTGTGTGTAGGCGACTTCAAGAGAAAGAAGATGTAATAAAGTTAATGGGCACGACAAGTTTATTTAGTATGCGGGTAAGTAAAAAAAAATTTTATATGAAAATACAGAGACAGTAGTTATCGACTCAGTCCACGCTATACTTTTTATTATACAGCTAACTAAATCAATTAAATATATGAACAAGTTGGCTAACATTTGATAACATTTACTTCCCGAATTAGACTTAGTTTTTTACCTACATACTAAACAGTACGTCTCTTTATAAAAAGGCAGAAGATGACTTACCGATATAAGCTCTCACATCGTATGAAGTTCCTATAGGTGCTCCGTGGTACTGCTTCGCGGGTACCAGCTGCACGCTAGGTGGCGCTAGAGGCGTCAACTCCAGGTGAAACGGGTATGCATTTGCCCCCAAGCGTTTTATTAACGCGTCCTATACCAAATATACATTAAATAAATTTATTATGCCAGCCAGTGCAAAATACTACCTTGAACAATCGTTTAATTATTATTTTTTCTATTATTTAAATGTCTATATGCTAAATAAAGGAATATAATAATAATCATAAACATTTATTTCGGAATAAATTCAATACATATTTGTTATTAACAGTGCAAACTTTTTTTTATGTTTTGGTTAGCAATCAGCGTCGCAAATGGAAACCCGAAACGGAGGAGTTACGAGTGCGTCGCCGACCTTTTAGGGATTAAGGTTTTGGAGATGTAGGGATTGGGGAATGGGAAGGATTGGGCCTCCGGTAACCTCACTCACACTCATTATAAAACTAGTGTTGGTAACTACATTATTGTGAGTAGCAGCAGTAGTATAAAATAGTTCAAACTGTACAGTAAAAAAAGAAGAATAAGTTAACTAACATTAGGTACATTATGAATATAATAAAGTGGCAAAGTTAGTCAACTCAAACAAGAACACCGTACATTTACTTTGGCGTAAGTTTGTAAGAAAATATCCAACGTTAGAAAGTTTCTAGGAAAACATATTGGAAAGTTACAATAAGTATTTATAGCCAAAACAAATATTATATTCATCTTGGTTTAAACAAAACATTCATATGTTTACTAAGCGTCAAGTTTGTTTAAAATGTCGATCAACAATTCTTTCGGTTTCACGGAATTGCCTACGTAGTTTGAAGAAGATACTTAAATCTGAGTTATTTGATATTTGGATAAAGTAACTATAGTCTCCTCAGATGAATAGGATCGGAGACTAAAATGTTATGTCCTTTATGAAATATTAGTGGGAATGTTCATTTTTTTAAATAAAACATTGCCCCACACTAGGATTTTCTCCTATGTCGTGGGTGCGTTTACAAATATACAGTTCCACATGCACATCACACCCAGACCCGGAACAACAATTTGTGGATCACACAGAGTTGTTCCGTGCGGGAATCCAACCCGCGACACGTTTATTGTTGGGTAGGTAGTTATAAGGTGGTCCAGAGAAAATAAATATAAGTACTTTTTATTACATTATCGGTTTTGCGGTCATCAAATATACTTTATTCTGATATCATTGTCTAAAAGTTCATCTTATTGTTAATTTTTACACTATTGTGATATTAAACACAGAAATCGTATCTAATATTGTAGAAAATACTATTACACCACTTTTATTTTAGTAATAAAATAAATTTAATTATCAATTCGAACTATTTCAGCTTATACTACAAGCAAAAGGCAAAGATAAAATTAAATAAATAATTATATGGAAGAAAAACAAGGAAAAACATTCATATACTTTAAGTAAAAAATAATACCCTTAAACAATAACAGTGACTTTCATAAAAGCGAGCGGAATGTACAAATAATTTTGGAAAATTTAATTATTATTTTCTCTTTATTACTTTCATATCTGCTAAACGATATTAAATTTTAACACGTTTCGTTTAGTATTTCAATTTCGAAATCAGAATTTATTACGGTACCTTTATAGTAAAAATAAACTGGTTCGCCGTTCTATATTTTCTAGATAGATCTTGTTTCAAATAAACACAAGTGTTGGGTACATAAGTTGGACATTCTGAGCACCGGTTCAATTTGCGTAAATCGAGTTGGGATATTGGAGACCAACTGGCGAAGTTTAGTCAGTAACAAGTTCAGTATCAAGATGGTTCCATCTCGTTTTACAACCTCCTTGGTAACCAGTAACAATAATGATAGCAGTTTCAAAGAACTGAAGTTAGCAAACTAAGTTTATCGAGAGTTCAGCCCGATGACGATTTGATATGATATTTTGCTTCTATTGTTATTTTCTAATACGGTAGTTTCCAATTAGTCAAATTCAATACTTTTATCCAAATGTCAAAAACGATACTTTTCTATAAAATTTGTATGAAAAACTGAGGTATGGCGTCATAACGGTTCGATAGCTACCTAGTTAATCGTTCTCAGCTTGTTGCATTGGCAGGTTATGACTCTGTACCATTTGTTCCTAGTTCTGGTGTGCCACAGGGTTCAAAACTGGGGCCCTTACTCTTTTTAGTATTTATAAATGACCTATTAGATAAGATGAATTGTAACTGCTTAGCATATGCCGATGACTTAAAACTATACTACAGAATATCGGACCTTAATGATTGTCTGAAACTTCAGAATGATTTAAATGTCCTTCAAAATTGGTGTTTGAACAATGGTATGACGCTAAATGTTAATAAATGCCAGACGATAACATTCACCAATAAGACAAGTTATGATAAATTTAATTACCATATAGAGGGAACTGTACTCCACAGAGTATCTGTCATACGTGACCTGGGAGTTCTTTTTGATACTGCATTAACTTTCCGTCATCATATAGATAAAATAGTGACGAAGGCTAAAAAGATGCTTGGATTTATTTTCCGAATGTCCAAACCATTTCGTAAAAGCACCAGTATTATTTTTCTTTTTAATGCACTGGTAAGAAGCTCACTGGAATACTGTTCCACAATCTGGACCCCATATTACTCTACCTATACTGACAAGGTTGAATCAATTCAAGCTCGTTTTGTTAGGTATCTGTGTTCAAAGAAAAACATTCGAAGATCTATTCCTGATTATAGTGACAGAATAAGACACTTTGGGTTGTTAAGCTTAAAGGAAAGGCGAATTCATTCTGATTTACTGACTCTTTACAAAATTGTTAATGGCCTTCTTGATGCTCAATTGATAGAAGGTTTAAAGTTCCGGCTTGACCGTCGTAGTAAGCGATATCATCGTGTTTTTGAAATCCCTATATCTACTTTAAATACCACATTTAATAGCCCTCTAACTCGTATGGCAAGATTATATAATGAAAGGGCCATTATGACAGATTATCCCATCGATATTTTCTCCATGAACTTCGCATCATACAGACGCTCCCTACTTAAACAATGTGAACAGTGCCCATCGTTATTGCTTTAACACGTTTTTTGTTTTTTTGTTTAATTATTAGCTTAGTTATATAAGTCTCAAAAACCTTTCATTTTCAATGTCATGCACACCTGTAATTTGTACAATTGCTTGTGCATCCAATTATTTGATTATTGTGTTTTTTGTATAACATTGGGTGATTGTATTGTTGGTGTGCTTATTTTTAAATAAATAAATAACAGTTTTGCGTCAAATAGCTTACTTATTTCTGAATAATGAGCTAAAAAATCTAAATCTTATTGTATCGATCGATCAATGAATAAAAGTATAGTTATTTTTCAATATTTTATTGTATTAAAACGTCGAATTAATTTATTTTTGACCTAGGACACTACCCAATTGAAAAATATTTATTTAAGATGCCCTAAGGCTTATAACGAATGCCTTATCTTCATGTTATTTTTAAAAGTCTATTTTCAATTCACAGTATATTTAGGTAAAAGCAGTTATAAAATCATTAATTTTAACAGGTTACCTACAAATTCTTCACAAACTCGATTCTAAAAGGCTTTGATATAAATTTACTAGCACCCTCTCACCTGTTACGCTCCCAGGCCTTTGGACGGGCATTGAAAATCGCTTAGAATGACCCCTATAACAGCTGCAACGCTGTTACGAACGAAGATTTATGAGAGGTTTTGTATTGAAAATAAGAATAATAAGTAATAGGTTTTTGGAAGAGAAACTGTTTGTGTTCATATACATGTTTACTGTTTATAAAGCAGTGAGATTATTGAGAAAAAATATTATAAAACACACTAAGTACTCTATACGACTGTCATGTATAATTGTATAGAAAAATATAACCAGTGAGAATATCTGTGCGATTGAACTCATTTCGAAAAACAATTCAGACGTTGGCAATCAGACTGTGATCCCATAATCCTTTTTATGAAACTGTAAAATGAGTTGAACCAGATTAAATATTTTGTTGACGTCTATATGCAAGGCAAACTCAAGCTTTTTATTAACTTTAATAAAATTTGTCTTTGCTCGGTTCTTCTTATAAAGCCTCTGTACAATGATCTAGAAATAGTCGTAAAAGAAAACAAGGAATGTTGGAGTTGTTCATTACCCGGTGAGGGTGCACGACTAAGCTTAAGAAATTTGTTATTTTAGCTTTGTAGGTAATGAGATTCCGTAAATAAATTTATTACACACGTGAACTTATCAATTTTGTGCTTGTATGTAAGTTCTTTGTTAGCAAAGTGCTTGTTTCTGGAATTTCAAATCTGGTAAATTGCTCTTTGAACTTTATTGCTAGTTGCACGTTTCGCGTTGTAATAAAATTACTTTCGAGATCAAATGGCTGCTTTAATTTTATATCATTACCGTATAAATGATTCAAAACAATAAAAGCGATTACTAGATCGTGGGTGGAACTTTTTCCATGAATATTTTAGAAAGTACGGTTGGTCGGTACAAGATTGCATGTTCACTAAGAATAAAACTCGATTTCACAGCATTCTGAAAGCTAGAAAATCGATAGGTATTTTTAATTGCGTTTTTACCTGGAGTGGACTGTTCGGTTCTCTGTCGTGGTTGCAGTGTAGCGGCCATATTTGTGCCAAGCTCATGATGGCCTCATTGCAAAACTTGAGGCCCATGACTTCTTCATCTTCTCGGCCGTATCTGCAAATTAAATGAGATTTAGTACTGCATTGCAGGTGGCAACTTATGGTTCAACGTGAAAGGGAGATAGATGCCTTTGTTCAGCAGAGAATGTCATCCGGGTGACGGTGATGATAGTATGTAGGTACCTTTTACATTTTCTAGATTGGTTATACATGAATCCTAATAGGAATAAGTATTTTGTACCTTTACGCGAATTATACACGTTATATATAATAGGAAAAAGATGTTACGGGAACAATGTGCAAATTGTTCATAATGGTAATCGTATAATTATCCCACATTGTAATTATATTGTATCAACTTTCCAACGCTTTTTTGTACTAAAAACTATTTTCTAATCCTAGAAAGTGCTAATGAAAGTCGAGCGGCATTAATTTCTACATTTTACTGAGCTATACATTTTCAAATTAATAGCTTTTCATTGCAAATATGTCGCTGGACGTGTGGGTGGGTGACACATTGATCTTTGCATTATAGGTGTTCAAACGGCACATTCATGGCTGAGAATGGATTATTCCATTGACCTGTAAGTTCTAGTCAATAAAACGTCAAGGTGATGTGCACTTGTGCAGTTTGCACAACTACTGACAAAGATGCGATACGACCGTAACTTGTAGAATATAATAGGTAAGTCAACACAAACCCTACATTTTCTTTACAAATCTAGATAGGTACTTTTCATACCGATTTAATATGAAAACGAGAAAGAGTCACAAATATTTAACCTCCTTCAAATCCTAAACCTACCTAATCAAACCTTTAGCCGTCTGAATAGCAGTGAATAGACTGACTATAACAATGATGAATTCGAGTCCCTAATTAAATTCCCGATCTTCATTTACATACGCTTGATCCACAAAACATTTTCATAAGATTAAGTACATTAAAATACCCTCCATCGGGCACCACAAAACGATTCCCAACCACAAAATTATAATAAATGGTCGGAACAGCGTTCTTTAATTAAAGGGCCAAGGTTGAAATGGGAGTAGACTTCCTGAGTTTTTAGGAGCGGACGGTCAAATTACTGGCATTTTTATTTAATTTAGTGCTTCGAAGGTATTATTTTCATTTTCCTTGGATACGGGCAATTTGTACAGATTTAGGTAATTCACGCCTCGTGTGTTTGTGTAATATGTACCTAGATGTATATTAATATACTACGTCATAACACTTTTTTCCATGAACGTTCCTAAATAATTCATTTAGAGGTGTGCTTTGAAAACGATAATATAAAAACATTTTCACACGTGTCTAAAAAAAGAAAAATGAATATGAAAGCAATTTGCCCTAACTTCTTGAAAATTGGAAAAACATATTCTATTAGAAAATAAAACTTAAAATATTTCTGAAGTCTTAATGACGTTGATATAAATTGAAATAGATATTCACACTTATGCCTGGGGTTGGGTATTGTGACGTCTGAAAAAAAGTGAAAGAAAATACACGTTCGCTCCTTTCGTTATTATAGTATTAGATTTCGTACTAACAAGAGCAAGCCCTTCAATTATTTCCTTGCCCCCTCTTGTAACTCTATAGCTGCGTGCATACGAATAAGGAAAATGTCTGCTATGAAATACTTACTGAAGAGAAATATTACGTTACCTACAGGTGATATTTAGTTATTGCGGCATAAAAGATTTCACACATTCATTCTTGGTTAATTTCCGGCGGTAGAATAAAATACTTTTAATGAAATTTATTTGTTAGAATAACCTAAGACATTTAACACGTACCTAAGTATATTTAAAAATCGATTTTGTTAATTCCATTAACTAATTAAAATTGGTATGGACTAGCGTAACTGTTTTTGAACTAGACAAGATTACAAAGCCTTTTAGTAGTATGTGTTTTGCCAGAAACAACAATTAATAGGCACACGTAATTTGCTCTAAACTATCTACATAATGCCTTCGCCAAAATTGATTCAGCCACAAGATTGCTAGAACACGGCACTCGTGAGAAACAAGGCGAAACTAACAACCCTTTCAATTCGTACGTTTACATGAACATCAAAGTGTGTATCGAATAAATTGTTGCCTTAGGTAACGTGTCGCTACAAAGCGCGGTTCACAGCCGACGCGAGGGTTAAATTTAGACCGACATGCCCCATTCAAAGAGCCTGCACGCGCAGAAAACATAGCCATTTAACAATAGCAGACTTTACTAATGAACCAATCTGCCTACTATTGTTAGGCGTTGGGTTTAATCTAAGGAGCTGTTTTGGATTACCTTGTTTTGTACTATTGTGTTTATTTGGGGTAGTTTCATTCGGCGTTGTGTTTTTGCGTAGGTGGCGTGTTTATTTTTAATGCTATGTTTACAGTTCGAATACGCATACGCTTTATTTATTAAAAAATAATGACTTACTCGCGTGCATTAACAGAGAGGAGTTCTACTATTTTCAAGTTGAAGCGTGACTCTTACTCTTTGTCGCAGCAACACACGTTGGTTATTTTTCAATAAATTTAGAATGTCTCATAATAGTTACTATTCAAACACAACACACACAACAATATACTTTAAAATAATGAGTACATATCAAGATGCATTATATTTTATTTATAGCAAGAGATAAAAATAAAAGCTTTTTCATTGGGCAATTACAAGGTTACTACAGTTCTAAAAATACCTTGTAACAGAAAACCTAGTAGAAACATAAATCTTGAACTTTATAGGTGAAGATAGTAATTAAAGTCAGAAATAAATATACCTACACAATTATTTTTGGAAGGGTTCCAGCATAAACGATTTGCAAAGGAATAAAGAGGCTTAATTAATGGCGACTATAATCTTTTCATTGCTTACTTAATAGAATACAAACCTATAAAATATATTTTACCTAAGTACTTATATAACTTGCTTTGTATTACATTCAAACTGCCTACTATTAAAAAGTAACTTTCTTGACGACATATCTGTACAGATCTTTAAGAAATTCTAAGACTCTTAAGCCCTCTTTTAAAAAGTTCTCCATCGATCTGGTACTTGAAGATTCTTATCGATTCCCTGAACACGTCTGTGAAGGCGACTTGGAAATATTCATAAAAGAACGGTTTACGATTCCATTCGTAGATACGTGTGATGTCGGGATTTTGTTCTTTGATACTTTATTCAAAATACCGTATTTTATTCGCAAATAGCTTTATATCGCTTCATAGATCAAGACTTTTCAAGTGTTTTAGGTTTCACGCAATCTGTTGTTGAATTGTTTTTCCTAACCGACGTGATTTGCTGAAAACAAAATAGGATTATGATTGTAGATGGTTTACTAGAATTGATTATATGATATGAAAGACTAACTAGAAGTTTAACGTATTTAAATCTAAGTGGTACTAGTACTATAGATCTAAAGAATTTTGTTTGTTTGATTGTCGGAATACGCTAAGCTCCTGAATTGGTTCGAATTGAAAACCATGTAAAGAGGAAAGTAATAAAAAGAATAGTGGAATCCAAGCAGCGGTTGAAAACGCGTGGTAGTAGCTAGTACCATATAAAAATGAACTCAGAAGGAAAATACTGTTAAAAAGTTAATTTGGCATTTAACGTGTAGGTATTCATTAAATATTAATTTCCTGGAATTGCTAAATTGCTCTTCCTTATGCTGGCGGAAGTTCGCGAGTAATTCTCTTGAGATTGTGTAACAAAATAAAAAAGAAAAGCAAAAAGATTTAAGTCCCAGTAATAGGAACGCCAGGGACATTTTAGGCAGATTAAATTAAACTCCAAAACTCATATTAGATAAAGTACCTATAACTTTAAAAATACAGGCTGAAAAAACGTGGTTAAATTAACAAAATAGATACGTTGCGAATCTGAGTCATTAAATTTGTGAAATAAACCAGAAGTAACCTAAAACCAAAAAGAGAAATAAAGATAGAAACGAACAGTAATGGAATTTTTGTACAATATCTTTTTTATGGAATTAAGCCATAAAAGGTCATAATACGAACCGCTGTAAACCGACCAGACATATCGTATTCTTTTTTCAGGCGAAAAGTATAACGTTTTTATCAGTCGGCCATAAAATTAGAGGGATTATTCCATGTAAATTATCTACGTAAAACATCGTCTCTGAAAAGGGTATCATGCTTCATTGAGCGGCAAATATGGTGTTTTCTACTTTTTATCAACTTCAAACTAACTACTTTCGCGTTAAAACCCCGTGGGGTATTATACCGGATGTAAGCTTTTACATGTCGCCGTTTTCCTTTGAACCGATGAGTATCGATAAAATGTACTACGCCCCTGCCTACCATTTTATAAATAAGAAATAAAAAGTTACGTGCGTTCAAGTTAAAATCTTTTACTTAGCAAAGGTATTAGAAGTCTTTTCATTTTGTCTTATGGCGAATGAAAACTTTTGAAAGTGAGATTTTATTTGATAAAAAAATTATATTCTTTATTTGTATTCGAAGTTAAAAAGCTTAGTCATGTTGCTATCTAGTGTTTATTAGGAAACGTTTTTTTTTTATTTTGAAATGTAGATTTCTTTGTGAATAATCTATATTGTTAAACTATGTCGGTTCAAAATAGGTGTTTCCATGTACCTATATTGTTAGGATAAACTAATATTTTATTAACCGAAAACCCTTCATCACAGATGAACATTTGTACAAACTTGTCGATAACTTAGGTGATTAGTTTGAGGCAGCACGGGTTATATCTATCAATATAAATAAGCCAAATATAGGTATATATAGGTAAGTTGTATATGTGTACCGCCTCGGAGTTGCTTCTACAAACTTGGTGCTTCGTAGTATTGAACTTCAATAGTCGCTAAGAAGATTTAGAAAGCGGAGTTACGAGGAAACTAAAATGGACTCTGTTAGCTTTTGAAGTGTTTAAGTAGATATTCAAGAGGCTTGGAAATATCTTCCAAAAGGATATATATTATATTTATTTTACAATCGAGTAGTTTCAAATTCTTTGAACAGGAAGAATATACGCAAATACAACGATGCGTATGTTTTTCTTAATAGGTGCCCCACACAAAGTTTTTGACCTGTGTCGTGGGTGCGTTTAAACATACAAATTCACATCCATTCCATTTACATTTAATTTCAGTCTCAACAAACAACAATTTATGGATCTCAAAAAGTGTTGCTCCGTGCGGGTATTAAACTCGCAACACGTTGCACAGGAACAACTTGCCCAATCACTGCGTCGAACGTGCAGTCTGCATTTTTAAATGTTTGCGTAAAATTATTAAGTTTTTCCAGTACTGAACACCAGATTAGAAGCTAATATAATTTAGTTATAATCAATATTTGTTAATAACCCAATTAGAACTCCAACAAACAGTGTGCGGTAAAGGTACGCATACAGGATAAGTTGGACCAATTATGATTACCACGGCGCTACTAGAAATCGTGTAGAACTAAACAATACATTAAAATTACCTAAATAAACATGTAACATACTCTAAATACGTTGGTACTAAGTAAAATTTGCGTTGTAACTTTATGATAATCCGCTTTAATATTGAATTAACGTTGTATAAACTAATATTGTTTTACTTCAGCTGATTAGTTTATTTTGATTTAGTTGGCTCGTCTACATGGATCGAATATGTTTAAGGCTTTTGTGGTTCCAAAACTATGTTATCGAAATTATTGTAATCCATAAGATTGAGGTATGTTAGTATGTTAGTTCTGTATGTTGTAATTTTAAGCTCTAATAAGTATGTTATGTAGGTACATAAAGCTTAGTGTTTTAGCTATTTCATCAGGTATTTGTTGAAAGGTAAATCAATAAGTTCTGTTTTAATACTTCTTGCTTGACCTGATCGTTTTTCTGCATTGAACATTGTTTAGGGTCGATGTGCATCTCTCTAATGTATCACTCAATACGTTATTGTTTACTTTAAGATTAGTGTTTAGATTGACTTATGAAGAAAACAATTGTAGGTAACGGCTCACTGTGAACTTTAGTAATCTAGGTTTTAAAAAATATAACAATTGTTTATTAACATTTAGAAAGCCATGTCGGACAATGCTGTCCGACGCAAGCGGAGGGTTAGCCTTCAACAGTTTTTGTCGGCAGTCAAATGCTTAATGGCATCATATTATATTCTAAGTAATTATATGCAAACATTAGCAATGAAAACATCTCTCACCTGAAAGTCAATGTGACTTGTCCGTACAGCTTTTTGTTCTCCAAGTATTCAGGTTCCACGTGGAGAACCCCTTGGATTCTGTCGATAGCTCCATTTTCCACCACCAGGTCGCGTGATGCTAGGTATAGCGTCAACTTGTTGTTTGGTGAGGATTTCTTGAACACCCTGTGGATATTTAAATAATTAATCACCTTTGCAAAAAACTACTATTACAGTAGGATTTTCTTTTATGTTATTGTCATATTTTTATAAATAAAATAAACATATATTATCCCTACATTAACATTTTCTCCTGTGTCGTGAGTGCGTTTACAAACATAGAAATGACACCCATATCCGTAACAGCAATTTGTAGATCACACAAAAATATGTTCCGTACATCTACATAATTATTATCCGAACACCCTGTACCTGGGCCAAGCGTGCAGTTTTTGATTTGAAATGCATGAGTTTATGTTAAACCTTGAAACCAGGTTTAAGCCTGTACGTTCTATGACGGTTAACTTGGTCTCAAAATCAGTATACGACATCTTTCAGATTGGAATTATACATACATACTGATTCGGAATAAAATCTGACTAAGCGAGGGTGGAACAACACTAGACCGATGCCATATTAACACGCGCGCCCCCTCACTAACTGTCAGATAAAGAAAACTATTTAGCGCACTTTGTGCTGTAATGCCGATTGCTTAATCATATGATTGCTTATATTATAAAACTGTGTTTTCATGCTAAAATACACAAATACAATTCCTACCTACACACACACATGTAGGTACCTATCTCTGACGTAATTTGACAAACTGGTTGACGTATCTGTTAATTTGCCAGAATAACTGGCTCTGGTTGCGATCCGGTGTCTCGATTGCTGACAATTGGCCTGCCAATTGACCCTATCAACACTAACTCGACTCATTTAGTTCTCAGGACGTATTTGGTTATGAGGTGACAGCTATACTTAGTGATTTGAAACGATCAATCAAAGGTTCAAACAGCCACGCGTTTCTAGAGTGCACGAAGACAATAGAACATCGCTATCCACATTCGAGTTTTCCAAGAAATATACCTATAATGCTTTTGATTCTCAAAAAGGTCGAGTCACGTATAATTGGAATCCGCACGTTCTACCATTGGCTTACGTATAATGATCCTTTGAATAGAGACCGAGCCAAGTTATTATTGAAAATTGAAAATCCAAATATTCAATATTGGGGATCCAGGAAATTGAGGCTGTTGGTGGCCATTGAATGAGACTTTAATTAGACGAATATGATTTTAATATTCACGCGAGTTATTCAGACTTTAATGTTAAATTGTGAAGTGGAATACCCCAAATGTGGGAAACTCATGCTTTGACAAGAATAGGATGGCTCAACAGGACCGGAGTGATACCACGGCCATAACCAAGCCAAGGAACTTACATGAAACCATGCTTGTTGTGTGCGCGCGATCCTTATACCGCCATATCTTTAATGCCTTATTTCTATCAATTCTAAAAACTCAGCAACGAATTTTTAAGTATAGTGTTGTTAGTGTACATGAGCGACGCCGATCGCTTACCATCAGGTAACGCGGGAGCTCTTATTCCGCCATGTCTCATAAAAAATGTTAAACCTGATGCTAAATAAATCTACTTTCATCTCCCACCAATCGACCAACGCCTTGATATCTAAACTCCTAAGCAAGAACCACTTACCTAATCGATTTGCCGTATAACAATCTAATTCTATAAAGTCCTCCTCAAGATTCTCGTCACATCCACTATCGCAGTTTTAGAGCAAACACTTTTTATTGAACTCGTATCACTATTCCCTATATTGTCCTTTACTTTTCAAATAAAACTGTACTCTATTCATACGACTTACCGTTGGGAATTGAGTGCGTTGTCCGTCGTCATCTTCGGTTTGTGTTGTGACCTGCAAAAGAAAGAATTCCTTGTTATTGTTGATACAAATCGAATGATATTTATTGGGTACAAATAAATTTCTGTTGATTGATGCCCGGTTCCTATAATTGACAAACGATCCGTTTTAGTTACGAATAGTAGTTTTATATACGACTCGTAAGCTAAAACCGTTCCTATAACAAACGTCTCGTCGTGCAACTTACTGACGGTTTGCAACTAACGGATATCGGTAAGCGAATTGTATGGAGATCTATGGTGTCTGTGGTGTTCCTATAAATATTTTAACCATCAGTAGACGGTCAAGATAACTATTCGTAATGTCATTTGGTCGTAATGCGTATACAACGACGATTCGTTAAATATAGGAACCGGGCATTAAAGGTATTTGAGGGGCAATATACTTAATGTTGGAAGTTTTTGGTTTTACCCTATGGATTGTTCATATAGAATGGTAATGACAAGGAGTATAAGCACATTGACAAAAATAAAAATGAGTGATTACAATTAAATATTTCGTCAAACACATACGGTACATTTTACATCATCCCATAAGTGCCCACTGCTGAGACAAGGCCTTTTTCAACACGGAGAATGTTTGAGCATTAATTACCACGATCGGTCAAGAATTGGCGATTTCAAACTTATAATTAGAAATTATAACGCAGCAAAAGTCGCATTGTGTCTTTTAAAAACTTACTAAACCAACCCTAATAAAACTAATAAATACCTGTAATAATAAATTTCCGTAAAATAAAAGAAGGCAACAAGATAGTAAAGTAAAAGATACACTAACAATTATTATTATTAAGGACCTAATTTAAGACAAGATAGATTATTTTAAACACATTTAAAATAGGAATAAACGAAACAAGCCGAGCCCGATCACAAACGGAGACAGCTAGTGTGAAACTGATTGAGTTTCAATTGTCTATATTTATATTGATATTTAAGTAATATCAGGGCTTGATGAATAATAAACTAGATAACAGTGACGCCTGACGCAAAGCTTGTAAATTTTCATTAAATATGTGAAGTATCAATGAACTTACTTTGTTGGAGTTTATTGCACAAGTATTATAATTGTGTAAATACGAGTACCTATATTAAGTGCATTATTGATTTTTATTAGTTTTCCATTAAAAACTATTCAATGGATTCGACCGCACAGTTTTAATTCGATTCTCGCACGGAACAACTCTTAGTGTGATTCACAAGTCCTTGTACAGGGTCTGGGTGTCCTATGTATGTGAAATTGTATGTTTGTAAACGCACCCACGACACATGAGAAAATCCTAATGTCGGGCAACGTTTTTAACGATTGGGAATAAGGGATCTTAATTAAATTTGTCATGGGGTAGGTTGATAATGTGGAACAACATAATATTATAAGTTACTTTTTAACCTGGCTTTGCGGAAGAAGCTATTATATATAAAATTATATAAAAAAGAAGCTGGTCGTGATTAGTGTAGATATTATTAAATTAACGACAACATAAGGTTTGCCGACGTTCTGACTTTTTCGGTAAACAATGACATTTTCTTCCTAGTTCAAACAATGTAACAAAAAATTAATTATTCAATTCGGTGCAGTTATATAAGAGTTATAGGTATGGGTACTTACATTTTGAAGAATATTTAATTTAGCTTCACTTTTATTTGAAGTAATTATAAAAATTTCGAGTAATTTTTTTATTACATTTTATTCTTTCACGTTCGAATTTTCGCTCCAATTTTTATTCGAATAAAGAACCTTGCTCTTTCATGTTGCCAGTATTTTTTATCCTATAAGCAATATTGTTTAAAAACTTTTTGAGTTATTTCTTTTTTAACCGACTTCATTGCCAACACTTTTAACAATGTTCCTATTCAATTTTATTTTTGGTATTTGTAAGTAATTACAATAGGAACCTAATGATAATTATGACAATTTATAGGTAAATAAGATACACTTGAAGTTCACACTACCGGTTGCATTGATTCATATTCACTGAGCTATGAATAAAACATTATTTATTAGAGCAACGTTACACTTTATCACAGACAGCTCTCGTAAATTAAATTAATTACTAGCGTCTCAAGAAATCTGTTCAGAACAGAACTAACTAGTTACTAGATCACAACAATACTGACATTGTTTCAAAGAGAGCCAAAAGCCGATGGCCTTTATTTAATCTATGTTGTATTCTAATCGATTAAATTGGCGATTTCGGACGACATATTTGCACAAAATATTTGATTGCTCACGTTCAATTTAGTATAGGACCGACGCAACTTAATTTGGCCTTTGTGAATTCTGTTTTAAGGTGTGATTTCGATTGGGATGTGTTAGAGTAAATTGTAATTTGGTATTCATGGTATGTGACGCACAATTAGCGATTGAATTTCGACGGATGAGACAATACGTTGGAACGTTGTCGCATTGAAATAACTCGATTATTTTGAGCGGCGACTCGTTGGATAATTGTTTCACAAACAAATTGTGGTCTTTTGGTGTCAGTGTTGCATTGATGAAACTAGGTATAGCACTCCAAATCCTCCAGTTACTAGACTGCTTGGAAAATTTTATTTAACTCCACAGTTGAGAATAGATTTTAAGATGTTTGTTTTTGGAAAGTTAAAGGGCACAAATCTTCATGGATGACTAAGGCAGATTTAATATAAAGAGTGAAGGAAATTTAAGGAGAAGGATTATTTTGAATAATCGAAATAAAACTTTAACATGACCATGAAGCAGTTTGGTATTCACAGCTGTAAATGTGTAAATAGAAAATTAAAAATTTAATTTTAAAGTTTTTAAAACAAATTCTTGTGTAATCATGTTTGAAAAGTTTTAACTATTTTTTTAACAACTGGCTTCTTTTAATAAAAAACTATTTCACGCAGCCATAAAATAAAAAAAGAAAAACGAATTTAAAAATAAATATTTAATGGCATTTAAATTTTTTCCTGGATTTGTGGCCAGTGACTTGTAAACGATATCCATGAAAAAAGTTTTAATGTTTTTTTATATGAATTTTATTTCTATTGAATTATATTATAAGATTGTATTATATAAGGAAAAAATAGGTGTTGGAAACAAATTATATTCCATACTTATTTGATCTCTTTTTATAAAAATTGTTAAACTGTTTTTTGCCAGATTATTCAAAAGCGCAGTGCTGCTCATAATTATAGGTCCATGCATCCAGGCATGTAATTCAATTTAGTTCGTAAAATAATTCCAATATAATTAACATTAGTAAGGAGTAAATCATTAATGAATCAAATAAATCTACCGATACAAATGCAAACAGTAACTTTCCTCCAGCGGCTAGTTACTTAAATGTTTAATATTTATGAATGCTGTATCGCGTCCTTCATTTGCTGCTTTCACTGAGGTTCTTAACGGCCTCGTACCCTTGAGTAACCTTGACCTACAAACTGCTTATCAGTTTGCATTATACATTTTCATGGTCGTTTTCTTCAAGAGCTTTCTTGGTAAGTGGCAGCCGCATTTCAAGTTACTTATTTCAAAAGTTATATGAAAGCATCTTCCCTTCTTTTTAATTATTTCGCATCAAAGGAAAAATATGCGGTCGTATTTTGGACATTATTTAAGAAGATGCTTGTGATATTACTTAGTTAAGTGCCGAGGCAATATTTTTAAGCGATTTTTCATATAAGTAAGGTTGTTTTATTTTACCCATACGGTTAAAAAAACAAAAAATATCATCATCATTATCGTTTATTTAAACAAGATTGATTGAATGTGGATGAGTAATAATTCAGCAGTTGGCGCGTGAGGATTACTCCCTCACGCGGGCCGCCTCCCTCTTTGCGAGCATAATTGCTTCCCAGAAGGAGGACACGGCGTCCTGGTTCCTCTCGCTCCGGAACATGGCCTTGACTAAGGCCGGGCGAGAGAGGTCACCGCCGCTGATGCTGAAATCCCTAACCTCTAAAATTCAGCGACGTACTTGTAAATCCTTAGTATCCATGGGCTTCACCGATTGCTTACTATCAAGTGATCTGACTTCTCAATAACCGTTATGCCATAAAAAATCTACTTTTAAAATATTTTACATTCTAATCAATACATAAAAAAATTAGCAATATACCAATCTTCATCTAGTTTTTAGTTTTTAATACTATTGTTTATTTTGAGGTTAACTCATGAGATCACGGCGAATTCCAGCCAGTAATTAAAAAGGAAAACGGATGTTTGAAATGCTTTGATGTCCGTAGCATCCACGATTTCCAGCTAGCGTGATTAAAAGAACCACATACCTACATGAAAATATGGTTTATCAAAGTTTTCGAAGGAAAACTAGGTTTATAATACAGTTACTGGTGAGTTTTTTAGCTGTTGAAAAAGATTTTTTGAGTATAATTTCGTGTAGTTTTTTAACTATCGTGACTCATGTGGTGGCTGTAAAGTGGTCCAATTGTATGTGGTAGCCATTAACAACTGATGTACTATAAATGTGTTATAGTATTAAATACAAACTTCAAAATTAAACTCTAACACTAAACTTTAGAATATAAATGCACACACTTAAGGCAGGCTCAAAAAAGTGGTAAAGTAGTGCCTACTTAACTTTAAGTTCTCTTAAACAACTGAATCAAACCTGATAGAATTTTCCACTTTGATTTATGTTTAAAAATGTATTTGGATTTAATAAAAGACAAATTATTTATTTTTGAATAAATATTTTGAATTTATAGTAGATCGAATACCTAAATAAGCTCCAAAAATAATTTAATCATCAAACTCCAAGCGAATGTTTGCGCACCGATTGTTAATCTATTGTACCTCGAATTACCACGATTCAAAGATTAAATAAATACCTTTAACATATACATATAATGCATTGTGTTGGATGAAAATGAATTCCTTTTTTATCTCATCTCTCTAATAAGAAACTGTCACTCTCAATACTGAGTGGGGATAGTTCAAGACACTCATAAATGTCGCCCGACTTCACTTGACCTTTGAACGCGCTCGAACTTGATCAAACGACTTGCAACTTA